CAGGTTCGGCCCCCGTACGGGGACCCAAATACCCGAACGTTCGGGGGTGAGCTTAGAGGCCTCCGTACGTTCGGCCTGGCAACCCTATATATATAAAGAGAGAGAGAAAGAGGCTACCAGAGTAGCCTAGGGCCAGTTGCCCGCCCAGGCCAAATAAAAATAAAAAATAAAAAAAACTAAAAGTTATATTTTAACCTAGGCTACCAGACGGACCGCCCGGGTCCCGGGTGGCCAGCCCATGCAAGGATCAAGGAAGGTCCCAGCAAAAAAAAAAAAAAAAAAAATACGAAAAATACGAAAAAAAAACAATGTTATGCAGAAAACTAAATCGAGCAACTTTTGTCTCAGAGTCACATCAACATTCTTTATTGAATTAAAAAAAAAAAAAAAACCGGCTGTGCAAGAGATCCCGGGCCACTCTGCTAACCTAGATTTTAACTTTATTTTTTTATTTCAAATTTGGTAAACAATTTTGATTTGACCCAAAGGCAAAAAATATTGAGTTTATTTTTTTTGCATAACATTTTTTTTTTGGATTTTGTTATTTTGTTTTTGTTTATTTTGTTTTGCTAGGACCCTCTCTGGTCTTTGCGCGGGCGAGCCGTCTTGTAAAATAGGGTGACTCGGGTGACCCGACTGGTAGCCTAGATACATATTATATTTTCTCAAACTTTGTAGGGAATCTGATGTGACCCTGAGGCAAAAATTGTTCAGTTGATTGTTTTGCATCACATAGAGTTTTTTCGGATTTTTTGAATTTTTTTTTTTTTTTGCTAGATGCTTCGCTGGTCCTCGCACGGTCACGCTGCCCGGTCAAACAGGGTAACCCGAGCGGCCTGGCTGGTAGCCAAATTAAAAAGAGAACAATTCAAATAAATAAAAACCAACTAATCAAAAAAAAAAAATTATGCACCGCCTTTCAAATGGAAAGGTCGAGGCGTTGGGACTATTGTCCCCTCCCCGGCAACGACGCCAAAGTTGTGAGGAAACCCAAGAAGAAAGACACGTGTTGCTCGTCGAAGTCAAGCACAACAGCGTCTCTCACCCGCTTTACCCGCTCTCGAGGTCCTCGGCAACTGGAAGGGAGTCGGGGTTTGTGTCGCTTGTCACGCCCACACTTTTAAGTTGAATATGACGTCTCCTTTTCTCAAAATAAAGAACATGAAAAATGTCACAAAATAGAATTACTAGTCCTTGTCAACAGTTCTAAATCCAGCCCGAGCGAGGGTCAAACTCGATTTTTGTCATTCATGAAATTCCCCTGGAGTATGCATAAACTATATGGCTACTGCAACAATTGAACAATCAAGAAAAGTCTTAACAAAGTTGGRCTGAGTTAAACCAAGGCTAAGAGCACCGTACAGATATATGGTTGAGACTCGCATGAAACCTCAGGGATATTGTTGAAATTGCAGCGAAACCCTGGGGGCGTAACCGCAATTCCGTCAAAACCCTATGGGCATCGCTACAATTTGGCTAAMAAAAAGAATTATTTGGCTAAAAAAAAAAATTATTTGGCTTCCCTCGTGTTAACGCTCGGTTTGCCTGCAACTTCAACTCTTCGGCGGTTTTCACTTATGACCGATTCAAATGACACATATATTTCAAGAAATTTACTTATCTCAGATTTATGGAAAATCCCAATTTACAAGATACAACCAACTTTTGCACAAATAGTAGTAAAAGCGAGACTTTGTGTGAACCATGGTAAGTGGATTAAACTCTTACTCAAACCCAAGGGGTACAAACGAAATTGGACACCAACCCCAAGGATACGTATCAAACATATAATAACCCTTGGAGGTGTGTGTCACCGTTGTTGTGCATCCTAAGTTGCTTATTCGAGTCTGGAAAACACGGCTCATGTCAAAATCGTGCTCACCGGCGGGTTCGTGATTGAATGTTCAAAAATAATTTCAAATCAAAAAATTCCTAGATATGTATGATCTTGGAATCACTTGCAGGCTTCACTTAGGGCCACATACATACCGCTTGTTTAAACAATAGATGCAAATTCTTTTGGTTTGTGATTTGACAATGAATAATTTGGGAATTTAGAGATATTTTGCTAAGTATGAGCAAGGGATGCAGTYCGCCTCACGAAGTCGTGCTCATTCAATCATTAATTATTTTTTTAATTAAGATTCTAAAAAAGATATGCCCAAAAGTTGTCGGCCCTAGACCATTGGTGACAGG